GAGGAGCTGTGTAAGGTGGGCGGTGTGGACGTGACCACATTTGTCTTCTAGAAAAATGCTGTAACATCAGAATAGAAGATGCATTACACCAGGGCGCAGCTGAATACTGGCTCTGCAAACAGTTCTAGGTCTCCAGTTACTGCCTTTAAGCTTAGTTTCTTACCCACTTTAATCATATGTGTACTACAAAAAAATATTGCACACACTGCCGGGCGCGGTTGCTCATGCCTACAATCCCAGCACTTTGGGAGGCCGAGGCGGGTGGATCACGAGGTCAGGAGATCGAGACCATCCTGGCTAACATGGTGAAACATCATCTCTATGAAAAATACAAAAAACTAGCCAGGCGTGGTGGCACGCGCCTGTAGTCCTAGCTACTTGGGAGGCTGAGGCAGGACAATCGCTTGAACCTGGGAGGTGGAGGTTGCGGGGAGCCAAGATCGTGCTATTGCACTCCAACCTGGGTAACAAGAGCGAAATGCTGTCTCAAACAGACAAAAAAAATTGCACACACATATAAACAAGTTCTACAGGGATAAGGGTAACTGGAAAAAAAAATCCTTTGATGTTCTAATACCATTTTAGTCATAAAACCATCTTTAAAAAACACCCGGTGCCGACCCACACAGACAAAAAATAGCATCAGTGTATTTCTCTAGAGGCTCAAGTTCCAAGGATATACCAGACAGTGCAGTTTTGAGAGAAAACTTTAAAATACTTTTACCTTGGGAGGGCTAAGAGACAAAACAAAAAAACCCAAAGTTGCTCAAAAAAGCCATCAGAGGCCGTTAGTCCTTACCTCCCACATGGGTTTAATTCCTTCTTTGAAGAGATGGAAGTCACTGTGGCCTGTCAGGTCTCCGGGACGTACCATGTGGCTATAAAACCTCCAGAACTGCTCCACCTGCAGAGAGAAGACCCCAGAGTAAAAAAGGTGTTTGTGTCTTTTCTTTTTCTTTGAATGCATCCAGAGATTGAGATTCAGTTAAGAACATAAGCATGGAAGACACTATAATACAGGCTGTCCTTTTCAGAGGACTCATTCTCATTTGTGGCATTGTGAGGGAAGACATATTAGGGGAAAAGCATATCATCTAGTTTGACAAAAGAAAACATGTGACATTGGCAATACAAGAATAAAATCTTTGGTGAGAAATGCTAGCCTCAGCCAGGACCTTTAGCTGGTGAAACCTTGTCAATATGCACTTTCCCACTGAAGCTGCAGGGTAGTCATCACATGCAGTAAGAGGAGAGTTTTTTGCACAATGGAAACTCTTTAGCCTTGAGGTATATTAAGTGTCACAATGCCTCAGCATGAATGCATTTTTTTAGAACCAAATCACTTACTGATCAAAGATTGTTTAACTGGCAACACAGTATTTGCTGAATGAAATACTTCTTAGACCTGTTTAGTTACTAAGCATAAGTGATAGAAGCAAACACGTGTACCACACATCCCACTCCACATCATGCTGTTGCTAAGTCCAGGCCAATCCAAAATCACACAGGACTTAGTTTCTTATAGCTAGGGTTTAAGGCCTTCTTCTTAGATAGAAACAGGTTTCTCTTTGCCTCTCCTTCACAATCCTGTGAGAAAGCTAGATTTAAATTTTCCTAACAAGCATATGCTTATTTGTATTCATCACAGTAGTTCCGTTTTTCTTATTGGTGTCACGCCCCGCCAATCTTTTTTTTTTTTTTTTTTTTTATATACAGGGTCTATGCAGCAATATGTTCATAGCTCATCACAGCCTCTAACTCCTGGTCTCAAGTGATACTCCTATCTCAGCCTCCCGAGTAGCTGGGACTACAGGCTCATTAGTGTTTTGAGAGGAGAGATAACTTCCTTATTCACAGAGGATACCTACTAAGTACTGGCCAGTGAAGAGCCACACTTTAGGAGGAAAGAGAAAACATGGTGCAGTCTGATGAGAAATAGCTAGTGTTTGCCAACCTGCTGAGGAGGCTCTATATCAACATATAGCAAGATACCATAACTGTGGAGCTGACAATGGGTATTGAGTAGACAAAAGATTCAGGTCATACTTCTAGATCTAGGGAGCACCCAAGGAGAAATCAACCTTACACTGTGTGAAATGGCTGTCCCTTTAGTTCCTCTCTGGCACAAGAACATGTGATACATTTTACATGTTAAATAGAAGTCAGAAACTATAGGACTTCAAGGCAGTGCTTCATATCTCAGCAGCTGCTAAGCTTAACTGTGTGTAGTGATTTGGGATAGTAACTGGTCATATGAATACAATCGGCAATAATCTAAACCATTATCCACCCTAACATAGTTGAAGAAAAAACACATATATCCACTAGAACCAAGTACACCCACTAGTGGCTCACTGTGAATAAGCAACTGAAAGGGGCTTGGTGAGGAGAAAGTATACCGACCATCTCCAATTCCCCAGTCAATAATCACTTCAACAGTTTAGTCTCCTCCAATCTTACAACTATACTACAACCTCCCAGGCTCAAGCAATCCTCCTGCCTCAGCCTCCCGCGTAGCTGAGACCACAAGTGGGCACCACCATGCCCAGCTAATTTTTTAGTTTTTTTTTTTTTTTTTTTTTTTTTTGGCAGAGATGAAGTTTAACCCTGTTGTCCAGCTGGTCTTGAAGTCCTGGATTCAAGTGATCCTCTCTCTTTGGCCTCCCAAAGTTCTGGGACTGTGCCTGGCCTGAGAAGTATTATTAAACTTTCAAAGATTTATTTGGATAGTTCTAACTGAAACCAAAAAATAAGCATTCAGACTCAGAATATGAGGTGTAGAAAGGACCTCAGAAATCATCTCAACAACTTATTTTGTAGTTGAGAAAACAGTTACAAGAGTTGCTGTGGCCGAGAGTCAAGCACCAGAACAGGTTAGCTCTGATGACCAAGTCCAGTGCTCTTTCCATTTCAAGATGATGCCTTCCTAGTCACGCTGACTTCAAGAACTTTTAAATGCTGTTAATGATTAGGCTAAGAATCACTGGGAAACAAAGCTTTGAATTCAATCGGATTCATCATGTAGTTATTTCTTTGTGATGAATTTAATATTGTGAGCCGTTTCTTAATGAGGTCTGAATTACATGACAGACTGTATTTCTATTTTTCAGATCCAGACCTACAGAGTCAAAATGACAGACTTTAAATACTGTCACACATCCAATGAGCACTGATGAAGCCTTAACCCAAGACAGTCCTGATGATAAACCACTCCTTAACATATATGTCAAAAGGAAAGAAAAGAAAAACCTCCTTGTACAAGCTGGGTAAATTCATATATGCTTTTCACAAAAGGGAAATAAAACTGCAGCCCACTTTTTTTTTTGAGACAAGATCTCACTATGTTGCCTAGGCTAGTTTTGAACTCCTAGCTTCAAGTGATCCTCCTTGGCCTCAAAAAGTGCTGGCATTATAGACATGAGCCACCAGGCCTGACCAAATTCTTTAAAATCAGTAGTAAACCTGTATCTTCCAAGGCGGTATTCCCCAAACTGGAATCAAATCCTTCTCTCCTCCAAACTCCAAGAGCACTCTACATGCTTTCCCATAGCACAACTTATTGTCTACCCTGTATTAGAAATTCCTGGGCACATCTTACTTCCCTAAGAACAGGATCTGTGCCTTTATTCCTTTCAGAAGCCTACTAGGGCCTTGAATTCATTCAACAAGTATTTCTTGAACCAAATATGAACCAGTGCACAAGCTAGTTATATTATTTTAACAATGCTGTTTACCGATACTAAGATAGCACTGGTGAACTAAACAGTATCTTTGCTTTGGGCTGAAATTTTATCTGCTCAGCACAGTAATGATGTTGATTTCATATTAAGCAGATTATTATTGAGTTGTAAGGGTATTCTAGATACAAGTTCCTTATCAGATATGATTTGCAAATATTTTCTCCCATTTTGTAGGTTATCTTTTCACTTTCTTGATGGCGTCCTTTGAAGCAGAAAAGTTTTGAATTTTGATGAAATCCTATAGAGATGGGGTCTTACTATGTTGCCCAGGCTGGTCTTGAACTCCTGAGCTCAAGTGATCCTCCTGCCTCAGCCTTCCAAAGTACTAGGATTACAGGCATAAGCTACCATGCCTAGCCTACTATTTAATCTTTTGCTCTTGTGCATTTAGTGTGTTATTTAAGAAGACTTTGCCTAACCTAAGGTCATTAAGATTTACTCACATTTTCTTCTAAGAATTTTGTAATTTTAGCTCTCACATTTAGGTCTATGATCCATTTTTAGTTAATTTTTGTGTAGGGTGTCAGGAAGGAATGCAAAGTCGTTCTTTTGCACCCAGAAATCCAGTTGTCTCAGCACTGTTTATTGAAAAAGACTATTCTTTCTTGGTACCTTACATAAGTGGTTTATTATAAACAAAGGATACAGGTGAAGAGATGTGAAGGGCAGGGTATGGGGGAAGGTATGGAGAAAGGCACAGGGAGCTTCTATGCCCCCTTCAGGCGTGACACCCTCCAGGCACCTCCATGCATTCAGCTATCCAGAAGCTTCTGTACTTGAGTTTCAATTATACTGGCTCCCCCACTTAATCCAGAGAATTATGAAAATCAAAAAACTTTTTTAAGGCAGGGCCATCTCTGCTGCCCAGGCTGGAGTGAAGTGGCACGAACATGGCTCACTGCAGTCTTAACCTCCTGGGATCAAGTGATCCTCCTGCCTCAGCCTCCTGAGTAGTTGGGACCATAGGTGCATGCCAACATGGCCGGCCTTTTTTTTTCTCTAATGTTCCCCTTCTCTCCAAGCCAGCTAATTTAAAAATTTTTTGTAGAGGCAGAATCTCACCATGTTGACGAGGCTGATCTCAAACTCCTGGCTCAAACAATCCTCCCACCTCAGCCTCCCAAAATGATGGGATTACAGGCATAAGCCACCATGCCCCGCCAATTTGAGACTTTAGATCAGATACATAACCCAAGTTTTACTTTCCTCATTTGTAAAATACAGATTAATACCACTGACCTCATAGGGCTATCATAATGATTGAAGGAAATTATGTAAACAAAATATGTATTATATGCCCTTCCTCCTTAGCAGTTTGTTGTAGTATTTCCTACTGAAGTATTCTTTTCCAGTTTCTGCATTTCAAATAGGACTAATACTTCACTAATGTCAAGACAATGACAAACCCCGCATTTGTTTCTGCCTAGAGATCGAATGTACAGCACACAGGGGGTAAGTAATAACATTTGTTCAACTGGAGTGGTGTTAGTTGCAGATGGATTCTTGGGGTACACAAACCAAGTCACCTGGGAGGGAGATGAGACGGTCTGGGCTCTCTGTACTGACATTATCCACAAAAGCAATTATGAGAGATTTCATTTTCTTTCTGAACACAGGAAAAAGATATTTTATGCATTATCATTAACACAGCCAAAACCCTAAAGGGAGGTTCTTAACTACAAAACCTTCAAAATTTTTCATTTTACTGTCTAACTTCATGAGGATAGATACCACGTACTACAAACTTTTGTATTCATGACACTTTTAACTTAGTAAGGATTCCCTAAATACGTACCTACTTTTAAAAAAACCCTGAAAAACAAAAAGCAACAGTGCCAGGTGCTATGGCTCACTCCTGTAGTTGAGCACTACAGGAAGTCAAGGTGGGTGGATCACCTAAAGTCAGGAGTTTGAGACCAGCCTGGCCAACATGGCAAAACCGCATTTCTACTAAAAATACAAAAATTAGCTGGGCATGGTGGTGCACACCTATAATCTCAGCTACTCGGGAGACTGAGGCAGGAGAGTTGCTTGAACCTGGGAAGTGAAAATTGCAGTGAGTCGAGATCACGCCACTGCATTCCAGCCTGGGTGACAGAGCGAGATTCTGTCTCAGTTAAAAAAATAAAAATAAAAATAAAAAAAACCCAAACCTGTACTTTTGTATTATGCCCTTCCATTCAACTCCACAATTCTCATATTTGTTGATAACTACATGTTAACCATGGATATCTAGTGAGAAACCTATGAACGAACAAATCTGACCTCGGAGACTCAGGTCAGTAAATTACGGAAACCAGAATCTTAAACAGGTTACTAGGAAGGTAAATAAACATCATATCAATACAGGCAAGAATGAACTATCAAGGCACACTCCATTAAACCACCAAGAACTCACAGAAGCAAAGGTGCCAATCTGTTTGATATTCTGTTCATAGCTCTGTGAGCTGGTGGGACGGCCGGGGGTTCTCCTGGAGTACCAGAAAGTATAGTTGTACTGCAGGGGATGCTCTGCCGGTCCAGGGACAACAGCCTGGGAAGTAAAGGTGTGTTAGTCCTGGGCATTTGTCACATTGTCTGAGACTGACAGAACAATTTACAGTGTCAATCCTTACCACCCCCACAATTAAGAGAGGATATACAACCTCAACTACCTGCAATTTGCCCACGATTCTGCTTACACAGTACGTTTCCTCAGTGGTTAACTGATTCTAAATTCCTGTAACACTTTACTTGTGTTCTTATGGCCTTTGTAATTTTCTCCCTCATATAATAATAGGTATTCATGTTTGTATCTTATCTCAGCATATGCCCAGTTCAAGCACTGCCTCCTCTATAAGATTCATCACTGGCAAGTTACTTAACCTGTTTGTGTCTAATCTTCATACCTGCAAAACGAGGAAAGTAACAACAACCATCTCACAATGCTGCTGAGAGGATCAAATGAATTAATGGATACATGATGCTGAGCACAGTGCCTGGTGCAGAGTAAGTGCACAACAGATGTCAGTATTGTTATTATTGGTACTATTAAATGTAAGCCCCTTCCACAGTCTCATTCACCTTTGTGTCCTCTTAGCTTCTAGCATAAAACGGCTTGCCCTTAGAGGGTTACTCAATATTGCAGAATAAATGAATTAGTGATTGCTTTGACATTTCAAGAAAAAAACTGATCTCTCTCTCTCTCTCTCTCTCGCTCTCTCATTCACCAAGTTTTCCCTTTTCCAAATCACTTTCACCTTAGACTAATGCTGACTAAAATTTCAAGCAGTGTGTAGGATTTGAAACCCTCAGCAGTGGCTTATGAAGCAGCTAACAGCCTTATGAAGCTCCAGGTCTAATTTCCTCTATCTCAGACTAGGAGAATGCTGCAAGCAAGGCACCATCTCAAGATCCTGTGAGAAAAGCTCTAGGTCTCAAAATGAACATCCATGATCGCACAGTGTTTTTCTGGGAACAAAGTCAGATATTCCAACACGGGATGCTGTCAAGTTAATCTGGTATCTTCCAGATAAACAGATTCCATAAGATAATCAAATCTCAAGTTCAAAGGCAACTACATCTGTGCAGTACAAAACTCACCTTTCTCTTGCTACTGCTCTGATTCTTATCTCGTTCTGTTTTTTCCTTCTCACCATCTTTCGGTGTGCTGTTTTCTTCATTCTGATCATGGTCCCCACTGTCATCATCTTTCAAACTGAATAAAAAGGCAAAACAATACAATTCTGTGACTAAGTCAATTCTTACTTACCGAACAAAGCCACCAGGTCATATGAACTGCGATGTAAACAACCCAAAGTCACTCAAATTCAGGCTCTGAGATGTGAGAAGGGCAAAAGAATACAGACAGGCAAGTTAAGGGGATTAAACAAAAATGAAATGCCCATCAGCTAACCTGTGAGTTCCAGAAAGCACTGCCTTTCAGTTTTCTAAAAAGCCACACAAAGAACCAGTTATTGATTGCTGGAGATATACAGTTTAAGGGACTGTTTTCCCTGCCAAAAATGGAGTAAAAAATGAGAAGACTCTCTAGACGACTAACTGCTTTGGCATTTCAAATGACGGTTCAAAACATACTATCCACTGTGCCACTTCTTACCACTTCTTCTACACTTCTCCACTGTTACACTTTAGGCCCTCTTCTCCTGACACCTCAATCATATAACAAATTCCTCAGTGGTCTTCCAGACACAAATCTCTCACTCTCTGTCCATCCTTTCACCAGCATTATCTTTTTTTTACATATACATTTTTTTTTAAGAGATGGGGTCTCGCTATGTTGCCCAGGCTGGAGTGCAGTGGCTATTCACAGGCACAATCCCACTACTGATCAGCACAGGAATTTTGACCTGCTCCGTTTACGACCTGGGCCAGTTCACCCTCCTTAGGCAACCTAGTGGTTCCCTGCTCCCGGGAGGTCACCATATTGATGCCGAACTTAGTGCAGACACCCAACAGGCATAGTGTACTACAGGCCAGAACTCCTGGGCTCAAGTGATCCTCCCACCTCAGCATCCCAAGTAGCTAGGACTACAGGCACGCACCACTGTGCCCGGCCAGCATTATCTTTTTAAGTGCAAATCTGACATTTAACGTCCATGCTTTAAACTTGCAACTGTCTCTCACCTTTTGATGCCTACCCTCTAAGATAAAGTAGAGCAAAATGTAAGATCCTCTAGAATCTGACTCCCACCAGCCAGGATCCTCCTTCCTGCCTCCTCTAGCAATCTATATTCCCATATTGGTGCCACTTGCAAACACCACCCCTTCAGTCTACCACGCCATTCCTATGTCTGTTTTTCCTACTAGACAGAGTTCCTTTACAGCAGTGTCTTATTTAATCTCGGTATCTCCAGCACCCAGGGCAAGATGCTGCCTTAACATGCAGCACTAGAAGATGCTGAATAAATGCTAAATCAAAAGGAAAAGTAAATGACTGAAAAAGGAGTGAATATGTTCTTACTTCATAAGTAGTCAAACGTACTTTAAAGATTACCCTTTTATGAGCAGTGAAACTACCCCAAGGCTTTCAGGTACACCTAAAAAAATCACTGGATCCAGACAAAAAGATAAATGGAAAGATAATAAGAAAGCCATTTATTCTAGGGCTGGACCATTAACTCATCACAGATCTTCTCTGAAATCATCTTACTCGCCCCAGTGACTGTATGTGTGGTCAAACGAAATTAGGCTATTCTCAAGAATGGTACTAGAAATGCTCCAATTATAATTCAGATACTATCCTATGCAGATACATAAACATGTTGCAGAGTATTTTGTATTTGTGGTCTGGATTTTTTGCCCATGTATCCCCAGTGCCTAGTACATTAAAAGCACCCAGTAAATATCAGAATGAATGAGCTAGTCACATGTTGGGGCTGGCTAGCTCTGCCCATTTCATGCCCACAGCATGCCTGCTCTGCCCATTTCACAGCCCTAGCTGTAGAACATGCTCAGGAGGTTATGTTCTATGCCATGAACCTTCCCATTCCCACTGTGGTCAAGACACAACTAGGAAGGGCACCTGACCAAATGGCAGTCCAGCCTGGGCAATAACCTATGCCCCAGGGCCTTGCTCAAAAATATGTGCAGATTCGTCCCCTCAGCATTTCATACAGGAGATGAAAGATCATAGACTCAAGAGCTGAGGCTGCCATATGGGCCCCATGTAAGAAAAGCCCTGAGAGAATTAAGACAATGAGCAAAAGCAGAGAAAGCCAGTAGGAGGAAAGAGAATGAAGCAAATGAGCAAAGAAAATGGAGAGGGGAGTTTCATTTTGCTGATACTGCTACCATCTCTCTGGCTTTTATTCAGCCTCCCTGGATATCCAGGAGACCATCATCTGTGTGTATGATATTCCCTTCCCCTTTATTAAACTTGAATCCATTTGGTCTCCTTTTCAAAAGGAGCCTGTCTAGCACACAAGATTGACAGATTAAAAATTACCAACATCTACCAAGCATCTATGGTGTGTATGAGCTACTAGAGTGCTTGCCCCCAAGAACCTAGCTGAGGAGAAAAGGTACACAGATACACCCACGCCTCAGCATGGTGCAAAGGCTCCTGCTCTGCTCACATGTCCCAACATCATCTACTTCCTGGTCCCAGCAAACTCCTTTACCTCCAGTCGTATCACCCTAACTGTGGTGCCCCAATTTTATCCTTCTGTTATGCTCATCCTGTGGTCTCTCCTCAAGAAGTCCCTCTTTGCCTAGTTACCTTGTCCTACAGGACTCAGATCGAGGGCCACTTTCTCTTGCAAACACTTCCTAACCTCTCCCGACCTAGGGTGAATTGGAACTTCCCCATATAAATGCTTGCAGCTGTTCCAGCTATACGATCATGGTCAGTTCTGTCTCCTGACATCTCAAGGGTTCTTCCGCTTAGGCCTAGGACAGCAGCTCTTAACTCTCTTCTTTGGGGCACACTCCTGGGATGCAAACCATTTTCCTCTCTTCTTAGTTTCCAAGTCTCACTATAGCCTCTGGGGTCCCTTGCCATTAGATCTTGGCTGAAACGGGGTACAGTCATCCCAGCATTTTGTTTTTGCTAGCCCCAAAGAAAGCATATACCTTCCTTTCTTTTTAGTGGTTTTGTTGCTGATCACCACCAGGAAACAGGGAAAAAATAACAAAAATAATTATCAGAGAAGAAACAATGTTCCTGTGATCCCTGGACCACTTCCTACTCTTTTCCAAGACAGTAAACGGAAACCTTAATGGGCCTACATCTAGTGCTTTTATTTCTTGAGGATGGAGCTAAACAACCACTCTATTGTCTGAGCGTACGTCTAAGGCAAATCTTTTATATCCAATTTTCTATAAGCTACTCTTCCCAGCTTCAAGCTGGATTTCAGTCAAGACACAACTCAAGACTGAAAAAATCAGTGCTCCGTGAGCTCAGGCACTCAGTTAGGATCTCTGAGGCTGTCCAGGCTGAGAGGCACTTAAGTTAGCTTGCTAAGCTTCCGCCCAGGTATTTCCTCACCCTCTGAACTAGACCAATTCCTTATGGGTAGGACCTTGGTTCAATTCATCCTTATACCCCCACCATCAGACAGTGGCATAAAACAAATCGCTATTTAATGAATGGTCTCTAGAATCAAAGCAATGAGTGCCAAATAAGTGGTTTAGACAACAGTTAGGAAGGGGCCCAAAGTTAACAATACAGGGACAAAATCAGTATAGTTGTTTAGATCTGAAAACCATGTTTAACAAAGTCAGGACTGCAGTTTTTGTGATAGCTTCTTAGGGTTTTACTTATTAATAGGATCAAAGGCAATGCTATCTAAGGACTTGACAAGGCTACCCCTGCTCCACGAAAGCAATTATAATCAAAGGTTTCATTCACAGAAGTTGAGTCTATACAGTAATGGAGAGTAGAGCTACTCTTTAATCTGAGCCCACTAGATTATGTACTAAGCTCCAGCCACTGGACTTCTAAGCTTCTGGCAAACTGGAACATGTCCTTAGGAGCAATGTGGTAAAGAGTGAAGATCAGTAAAGACAGTAATGTGGTAAAGACTCCAAATATACAGCAATGGCCTAAACACCACAGAATTTCTCAATGAAAAACAACATAAAAAAATAAAACTAGGGCCAGGAGTGCTGTTTTCAATTGCTAATTTCAAATGAAAGAAAGTTTTTCTTTTTCTTTCCTGCAATGCTAGAGGGCAGATGTTAAAAGATTCTGGCTCAATATAATAGTTAATAATTCAAAGTAATTAAAATGACCCAGGTTTTTCATTAAAGACATAAGAAAAAAAAAGGCCAAGTTTAATTTTTAACTCAAGGTGCTTGAACCAAGGTTACACCACAAACCTGGGACAGCCCTTCCTGTTACTTAACCTCAGTCTCATTTTCCTTAACCATAAAGGAGATAACAAGATCCCCTTCAGAATTGTTAGAGCAGAAATAACATGAGGCTGGAGGCAGTGGCTCACTCCCGTAATCCTAGCACTTTGGGAGGCCAAGGTGGGTGGATCTCTTGAGCCCAGGAGTTTGAGATCAGCCTGGGCAACAGGGTGAAACTTTGTCTCTACAAAAAATACAAAAAAATTAGCCAGGGAGGGTAGCACACGCTTGTAGTCCTGGCTACTCTGGAGGCTGAGATGGGAGGATTGCTGGTGCCTGAGAGGTCAAATGGGCAGTGAGCTGTGATCACACCACTGCACTCCAGCCAGGGTGACAGAGTGAGACCCTGTCTCTAAAAATATATTTATATGAAAAGTACCTAGCAAGATCCCTGTGGAAGTCCATCATTACCATTCTTACTGCAGACCCCCAAATGATTTGGGTGGGCTTAAGCTAGATGACCCGTAAGACGTCTTCTTAGGATGAAATTTGATTTGTTCAAATCAGTGGAGGAAGGGGGATAAGGGTCCCAGAAAGCTCCACTTAGGCAGGATTTGGATTTGAAGCTGGATGCTGCAGGGTTTACAACAGAGATGAAATGGGGTGGGAGTGCGGGGAGAGGTTGGTATAGGATGGGCTCAGTTAAACAGCAGGATAGAGAAAAGACTTTCTCAAGTAGCAGAGACCTCTAGGCAACCAGGAAACATTCCTGAGGAGCTATCTGCCTGGAGTATTGGAAATCCAGTACTCCCTGAATTTGCACAGTACTCGCTGTACTGGGAAAAAAAACAATTTCCCATCAATAGCACCAGGTCACAATCTAAACTAATAGTAATTCCACTTTACTGTTATATCACAATAGTTAGCAATGTTCACAAGTATCTTTAAGCACTGCTGAGTGTGATTTGACCCTTCTCAGACCCCGGTGTGGCAGCAGGGTACTATCCACTAATGTGGTTTAGTGGATAGTAAATAGCCATCCAACAATGGCTCAGAGACTGGGTAACTTTTCTGCAAACATCTGGTAATCGGTAAGTCTGGGACTAGAAATCCAGGTTTTCGGATGAAGAGACAGATTTACCAGAAGAAAGCAGCAGCATATTCTACCTCAAGATGCAATCCTTGGAGGGGGTAAGTAAAAATACTTTCGCGTTTTCTCTCTGTACCTCCAAACTGTTTGATGCTGAAACTAGGAACCGGAGAGGGCAACAAGTATCCCTAGCTCTGGGCGAGTGTGTAGGAAGACGGGAACGGGAAGGGGAGGAGAAAGAGAGTAGAGTCTCAGGAAGATAATTCCTAAGCGAGCCTTCCACTGCGCCCAGCGCAGCAGCCGCATTACCTCGTTGCATCCTCCAAACTCTACGACACAGGCTGTTACCGTCCCCACTCTGCAGATGAGAAAACTGAGGCTCAGAAGGGAGAGGGAGTGAGTGTGTGAAGAAAGCTGGATTCAAAGGCAGCGCGGCCAGACTGCGGAAACACCCAAACCGCCGAGCTCCCCACCGCTCCACGTCGGCGGCAACCCGCATCATCGGGGCTGGGCGTCCGAAAATCTCCCCCTACAGGGCGGCACAGCCACCCCTTCCCTGCGCCCAGCTCTTCGACCTCGGTCCGGACGGCCCTGGGGTCCCCGGAACCCCTGTATCCATCGCTCCCAGCCCCCTCCTCCCCGCCAGCCCAGGCCAAGTCCGGCCCCTGCCGGATCCCGGAGGGAAGCCGGTGCCGCAGGCTTTGCACCGCCCCAGCCCCAGCGGGGGCGGGAGCAGGGGAACGGTTGGGGGAAGGGGCCCCGGGGGCGGCCAGGAGCCACTCACGCGTCGAACTTGTTGTTCATCCTCTCGCCGCCGCTGTCGCCACTGCCTCAAGGAGTGACTTCCGCTCCACCAGGTCCCTCAGCCTTAGGCCCGGGTACTTCCGGTTTTGGGCGAGGCGCACCGGAACGTCGGCGCGCAGGCCCGGCTGGGGGCTGCTATCCCGGGACGCCAGCTCTGGGCGGCTGCGCAGAAGGCTGGTCTCAGCGTCAGAGCTGGCGGCTGGCCTCAGCAATTTCGCTGTCCAGGTGTTTGTGAGCCGCCTGTTCTCCTAAGGGAGTGTGTCCTGGCACCCTACCGCAGCGGCTCGGAAAAAAGACAGCACCGCGGTCGTTGATGGAGCGGGCTCTGGACTCGCTGATTGGTAAAAATCCTCTTCCTCCAGTGCGGGACGCACCCTCTGGCATCTCTCTTAACCTCCCCGAGGCTTTCCTTTGGCGGCGACGCCACTCTAGTATGGCATCCCTGGTTTTATTGCGCTTGGCACATAGGGCTTTCTGAAAACGAATTGAGGGTTTGTGGCAGCCCTGAGCCCAGCAATTGTATCAGCGCCAATTTTCCAACAGCATGTGCTCACTTTGTGTCTCTGTGTTACATTTTGGTCATTTTCAAAATATTTCAAACTTTTTCATGATTTCTATGTCTGTTATGGTGATCTGTGATCAGTGATCTTTGATGTTGCTATTGACATTGTTTTGGGGTGCCACATACTGCATCTTTTGTAAGACAGCGAACATAATGTGTGTGTTCTGACTGCTTCACCCACAGACTGTTCTCCATCTCCCTCTTCTTGGGCCTCCCTATTCCCTGAGACACAACAATATTGAGATTAGGCGAATTAATAACTCAGCAATGGCCTCTAAGTGCTCAAGTGAAAGGAAGAGTCGTACATCTCTCACTTTAAATCAAAAACTAGAAATGATTAAACTCAGTGAGGAGGGTATGTCAAAAGCTGAGATAGGCCGAAGGCTAGGCCTTCTGCGGCAGACAGTTAGCCAAGTTGTAAATGCAAAGGAAAAGTTCTTGAAAGAAATTGAAAGTGCTACTCCAATGAACACACGAATGATAAGAAAGCGAAACAGCCTTATTGCTGATATGGAGAAAGTTTTAGTGGTCTGGATAGAAGATCAGACCAGCCGCAACATTCTTTTAAGCCAAAGCCTAATCCAGAGCAAGGCCCTAACTCTCTTCAACTCTATGAAAGCCGAAAGAGGTGAGGAAGCTGCAGAAGAAAAGTTTGAAGCTAGCAGAGGTTGGTTCATGAGATTTAAGGAAAGAAGCCGTTTCCATAACATAAAAACACAGGGTGAAACCACTAGCGCTGATGTAGAAGCTGCAGCAAGTTATCCAGAAGCTTTAGCTAAAATCATTGACGAAGGCGGCTACACTAAACAACAGATCTTCAATGTCGATGAAACAGCCTTCTATTGGAAGAAGATGCCATCTAGGACTTTCATAGCTAGAGAGGAGAAGTTAGTGCCTGGCTTCAAAGCCTCAAAAGACAGGCTGACTCTCTTGTTAGGGGCCAATGCAGCTGGTGACTTTAAGTTGAAGCCAATGCTTATTTACCATTCTGAAAATCCTAGAGCCCTTAAGAATTATACTAAATCTACTCTGCCTGTGCTGTATAAATGGAACAGCAAAGCCCGGATGACAGCACATCTGTTTACAGCATGGTTTACTGAATATTTTAAACCCAGTGTTGAGAACTACTGCTCAGAAAAGAAGATTCCTTTCAAAATGTTACTGCTCATTGACAATGCACCTAGTCATCCAAGAGCTCTGCTGGAGATGTACAAGGAGATTAATGTTGTTTTCATGCCTGCTAACACAGCATCCATTCTGCAGCCCATGGATCAAGGAGTAATTTCAACCTTCAAGTCTTATTACTTGAGAAATACATTTCATAAGGCTCTAGCTGCCATGAATAGTGATTTCTCTGATGGATCTGGGCAAAGTAAATTGAAAACCTTCTGGAAAGGATTCACCATTTTAGATACTATTAAAAACATTCGTGATTCATGGAGGAGGTCAAAATGTCAACATTAACAGGAGTTTGGAAAAAGTTGATTCCTACTCTCATTGATGACTATGAGGGGTTCAAGACTTCAGTGGAGGAAGTAACTACAGATGTAGTAGAAATAGCAAGAGAACTAGAATTAGAAGTAGAGCCAGAAGATGTAACTGAATTGCTGCAATCTCATGATAAAACTTTAACAGATGAGGAGCTGCTTCTTAGGGATGAGCAAAGAAAGTGGTTTCTTGAGATGGAATCTACACCTGGTGAAGATGCTGTGAACATTGTTGAAATGACAACAAAGGATTTAGAATATTACATAAACTTAGTTGATAAAGCAGCGGCAGGGTTTGAGAGGATTGACTCCAATTTTGAAAGAAGTTCTACTGTGGGCAAAATGCTATCAAACAGCATTGCATGCTACGGAGAAATCTTTCATGAAAGGAAGAGTCAATTGATGCGGCAAACTTCACTGATGTCTTATTTTAAGAAATTGCCTCAGCCACCCCAACCTTCAGCAGCCACCACCCTGACCAGTCAGCAGCCATCAACATCAAGGCAGGACCCTCCACCAGCAAAAAGAGTACGACTCACTGAAGGCTCAGATTGATCATTAGCATTTTTTAGCAATAAAGTATTTTTAAATGTAGGTATGTATATTGTTTTATTAGACAATTGCACTCTTACTAGTCTACGATATAGTGTAAACATAACTTTTATATGCATCAGGAAACCAAAAACATTCATGTGACTTGCTTTCTTGTGCTGATCTGGAACTGAACCTACAATATCTTTGAGGTTTGTCTATACCTACCTCCTTAGGTTGCTGTATGGATTCAATGAGACAGTAACCCATAGTAATGGCAGCTAATGTTAACCTTTGAGTGCTTACTGTACAAGGAGCTAATCCTCTGCCCTCTGAGGCTTTCAGAGAGGTTGAGGGACTTGTGCCAGATAACACAGCTAGTTAGGGGCTTATGGGAACCTGAAATGGCCCCACTGTCATCAGATTCCCTCCCTGACTGAAGTTCTCCCCCTCTCCCTAACCCCTCTAGGACTCTAGGGCTCTGACTCTGCTCTTACTTCAAACACACTGCACATGCACCCCCACAGACACACACTGGAGTAAATAAAATGAACTTGCTGGTGATTGAACCTCGAAGACAGCAATCCTGTGCTTGGAGGGAGGGCATATTTCCAAGCTTCCTTCTGCCAGCATATCCTGTTGTCAAGCCTTTATGTGGCACTTAAACATTTTTTTTGTAATTTTTTTTTTTTTTTTTTTTTTTTNTTTTTGAGACAGAGTCTTGCTGAGTCATCAGGCTGGAGTGTGGTCACATGATCACAGCTCACTGCAGCCTAGACCTCCCGGGCTCAGGCGATCCTCCCACCTCAGACTCCAGAGTAGCTGGGACTACAGGCTAAGTTTTGTATTTTTTGGTAGATACTGGGTTTCCCCATATTTCCCAGGCTGGGTTCCTGGGTTCCTGGGCTCAAGCAATTCACCCACCTTGGCCTCCCAAGGTGCCTGGATCACAGGTGTTAGCCACCACTGCTAAGGGAACAGAGTCAGGGAGCATAGGTGACTTGCCCAAGGTGTCACCTGGTTACCAACCGAACTCAAGTGCCAGCTGTAATCTCAGAGCAGGACCTTGCCTATCCCCCAGGAAGACCTCAGCTTACTGCCCTATTACCTGATTAGTGGGGTCAAGTCAAAGTCTCCTGGAATGAAGAGCTCAGTGGCTCTGTGTTAACTCCATGCCTCCTTGCCTAGCTCTTCCTTGTCCTAACCATCCTTTGGGAAGAAGGGCCTATTTTTCAGGCCATAGAATCTTAGAATGTCAGATTGGGTCAGAGTCAGGAATTTTGGACTTCAAATCTTGTTTAACCACCAGTGTTTTGTGGAATCTCTTACTCTTGGCTCAATTTGCCTATATAACATGGGGAATAATGACTCTCGGTTGTCCATACTGCTGTGCAGAGCTCTTAATTAAAAAGGAGGCCAGATACAATGGCTTATGCTTGTAATCCCAAGACTTTGGGAGGCGAAGGTGGAGGATGACTTGAGCTCAGGAGTTCAAGACCAATCTAGGCAATATACAAAACCTCATCTCTACTAAAAACTTAAAAGTAGCTGGGCGTAGTGGTGCATGCCTGTAGTGCCAGCTACTTGGGAGGCTGAGGCAGGATGGTTTGAGCTCTGGAGGTTGAGGCTGCAGTGAGCCGTGATGGTGCCACTCCACTCCAGCTTGCATGACAGCAGTGAGAGTCTGCCTCAAAACTAAACACAACAACAAAAACTAAAAAAAAAAAAAAAAAATGGATCACAAAACTCAGGAAATCATCTTGGGGTCAGTGGCAGAAAAATGCACATGAATGGAAAGGCCACTGGGGCTGTTGAGAATTGGGTGCTTACTGTACCAGCAGGCAGGGGAGGGGGATGCCAGCTGGCATGGGCTGCTGCCCCGCTTTTGATAAAGCATTGGCTGCTACTCTTCACACCTCTCTTTCAGGGAGAAGTTGTAAAAAGGGAGCCAGTCCCAAGCCTGAAGGTATCATACAAAACAAGAGTCCTTTGGGCTTCAGATTGATGAGAATTAATAATGCTTTGCCTAAGTGAGGGGGTGTGCTGAGTGCAGGAGTGGCTGGTGCCAGGACAAGCTAGCCAATGCTGCGTGGGTGCTGACTGCAGCAGCACACTAACCATAGGCCACCCCCAGTCACTCCAGGACTGCAGCTGGGACCCTTTTCCTGGCTTTTCTCAGGGCTGTTTGGCTCACACAGTCCTGAAGGGCACTTCCCAAAGAGCACGCTTATGACCTCGGTAGGAGAACATGGCTGACAAGACTCCATGTGACCCACATGTGTGACTCCCACATGTCCCGCGATGGTTGGTTGGCTCAGTCTGGTGAGGGCAGGTAGGGGCATGGATCTCCAGGGAAGGGCAGGGCGGGCACCCGGTTGTAGTGGGCCATGAGGAAGATGCCAGCCGTGCCGCAAACGAAGAGCGAGAGCATGGCCAGGAAGCAGACTCGGTCCAGCACTCGGCCCACCAGGAACCACTCCTCATTCCCCTGAGGGTGGGAGGAAGGTGTGGGTTGACCAGCGGCGGCACCAGGCCTTCCCTGGGTCCCGTTCTCATCCTTGGGCCTCCAGCAAGCCCGTGTCCCAACTGGTGACTAATTCCATGGTCCCCTACCCCTGAGATGTTCTCTCTACCCACTGTTCCATTTCCTTTTTTTTTTTGAGTTGGAGTCTCACTCTTGCCCAGGCCAGAATGCAGTGGCGTGATCATGGCTCAGCTCACTGCAACCTCCGCCTCCCGAGTTCAAGCGATTCTCCTGCCTCAGCCACCCAAGTAGCTGGGAATACAGGTGCCGGCCACCACGCCCAGCTGATTTTTTGTATTTTTAGTAGAGACAGGGTTTTGTCATGTTGGCCAGGCTGGTCTCAAATTCCTGACCTCAGATGATCCACTTGCCTTGGTCTCCCAAAGTCTTGGGATTACAGGGGTTGAGCCACGGCGCCCAGCCCCCTCTTTTTCCATCTCACTGCCCTACCTTGGCCACCCTACTCATCCTGTCTCCATCACAGGTCCAAGCCCAGATACTCACTCCACCCCCATTCCACCCTGACTCAGCTTACATTGTCAAAGTGGCTCTGCTGGTGCCGGGCACGGGCAATGAGGTTGCAGGCTTCCACACAGGTCTGGATGGCTGGGGCGGCTTGCTTCAGACTGCTACAGAACTGGCTCGGCCCTAACTCTGGGCCTTTCTCTGATGAAGAGAGAGGATAAGGTTTGGGAGTAGAATGGAGGAGAAGCAGGCGGAGAAGATGGCCTCTCCTTAGGGACCCCAGCTCCTCTCTCCCTGACCTGGACACTTCTCCTGCACTTCTGCTGTGCCTGGCTCCCCAGCTGGGGTCCCAGGGGAGGAGTGTCCTCAGGCACACCTGCTGTGCCTCACCTAGCTTCTGCAGCGCTGCCGCCACCCGCCCCTGCCGCTGCCACTGCTGGAAGAGGAGTTCACTGCGAGGCAGGCAGAGGGCCACCTCCTCCCCAGTGGTGACCGACCATCCCATGGAACCATTCTGTAGCCGAGGCCGGGTGTCCTGCACAGCTTCCAGAGCCAGCGGGCGAACGTGCATCCTCAGCAGCTGGGGCAAGAGTCTCAGGAACACCTAGAGAGGGGGTTGCTTTGCTAGGGCAGCCAGGCCTAGCTTTGGAGTAGAAGCTGGAGGTTGGCGTGAAGGGCTTGTGCAGCTAGGGACCATGGAGGCTGCACACTGGGGCAGTGACATGGCCTTGGTAAAGCTTTCCGTACTGGACATGAGCCTGAGTCCCCAAACTTCAGCACACATCAGAATCACCAGGGCACTTGTTACAAACAGATTCCTGCCCTGCACCCTCATGCTGTTCTGGCCTAGAATGCCTGGGGCAGGCCTGGAAATCCACATGTGCAGTGAAGGCCCCAGCTGAAGGCTGCAGGTGGGCTGAACGTCACACAGGCTGCAGTCAGACTGCCCGGCAGATGCCTGCCTTTTCGACTTTCTAGTGCACTTTCTTGGGCAGGCTACTCTGTACACCTCAATTTCCTCCTCTATAACTGGAGATGATATGGGTTTTATGAAGATGAAATACATTAACACTGGTAATATTCCTGGTGCCTAGTAAGCAATTTTATTACTGTATTGATGTAATCAATTTTGGTCCATGCTTCAGGATACACCCCGGATGGGTTTGCTGTGGAATGCTGCAGGTAAGGAATATGGCCAGGGGCAGGCGAAAGGGAGGCATGGGGACTGGGCAGCAGGATGTTGGAGTGGGCAGGGAGGATCCTTGCCTTTCGGACCCCTCGGGCCATGAAGTGTGTGTGGGGGGACCGCAAGGACACGTTGAGCACGACCACAGCATTCACAACAATGAGGATGGTCACCACCAGGAGGAAGGTCAGGTACCTGTCGGAGGCGGGTGGGCAGGAGCTGGTGGCCCATACCATGATGCCACCCCCACCCTTAGTGGCTGCTCCCCTCAGGCCTCCTGAATTGAGGATGGTGGGGTGGAGGGAGGGCAAGAGGGCAGTGCCGGAGGCCATTGTGCTCCCAAGAAGGGAGAGTGGGGTGGGCGTGCAAGCATGAAGACCAGCCTTACTTGCTGATGAGTGGCACCGCCTGGGAGGTTTCGGGCACCTTCTTGGCCACAAGGAAGAGGAAGACAGTCTGGGCCAGGAGCACGTTGATGGCGACGGTACACTTCTGGCCTCCAGCTGGCCCGTGACCAAGAGGCTCTCAGAGCAGGTCTGTACCTCCCTGACCCACGGAGCAACCCCTTACCCCAGAAGTAGCCCACTGCCTCTCATGGGTCATAGTGCCACTCTGTGTCCCAGGCAGGGCCCGCCCCAGCCTCCCAGGTATCCCCTGTACCACTGGACGGCTCCCTCCCATAGGCTCCAGGTACCCTTGGCAGGAAGGAAGTAGATGAGGATGGCGACGGAGGAAATGAGCACGCAGGGGGCAATGATGTTGATGACGTAGAAGAGGGGCTTGCGCTGGATGAGCAGGTAGAACACCACCTTCTGGTGGCCTGCCTCCTGGGCTGGCGCTGCTGTGTCCAGGAGCATCTTGGCTGGTCGGTGCCGGATGGCCCACTCCCCATTCTCTGTGGGCAGGCAGGCAGGCAGGACTGGGCACAGGGAGTGTGGGCCAGGCAGATCCCTACAGCCCGACTGACCCAGCTGCAAGGGCAGCATGCACCCTAAGAAGCACCAGCAGGGAAGGCACCATTGGGGGACAAAAGTGGGGTGGGAGATTGGATACTCGAGCTCCTCCTTTCAAAATTGGAGTCATTATCAGGAAACTCAGAGCTTAGTTGGACGTTTTAAAAAACATATTTTATGGTTTGCTGTAGTCTTCATTTTGAGTTACATGGGAGGGATTTGACCTTGGTCTGGCCTTGACCACAGCTGGGTCTGGCAGGAGCCCTGGATGAGGTTGCCCGGGGAGCCCCTGGGTGGGGGTTACCTGTGAAGGCCTCAGGGTCAATGAAAATCCACTCGATGGTCTGGCCATCTTCCTGACTCAGCTGCAGATCAATCTCATTGGTGCTGTAAGTCTGGGACCTTGGAGCCACGGAGGAAAGAGGCTAAATGTGAGTGGGTAGACCTGCCATGAGTGCCTAGGGATGACCATCTGGGGACAATTTTGGGTAGCTTTGCTTCAACGAAATGCAGCCCCATGCTTCTGAGTTCTCCATGAAACCCTGGGGCTGAGATGTGGAGGGCAGGGAGACCTAGGGCCCTTTGGGGTCAGGAAGATTGAGTTGAAGGGCTAGGAGGCTGCAGCTCACGGCTCTCACCTGGCTGACAGGCCCAGGGCCACTCTGCATTTGTCCCTCCCACTGCTCTCGGGCAGGAGGGGCTGATGATGGCAATGTAGAAAATACATGCCTACCGAAGGAGAGCCCCGGTGTCTACAGAGCGGAGTCTCCCTCCCAGGTTGGCTTGTAGAAAATACTGCTCCTCTAAGATACGGGAGAACCCTCACTCAGGCCCTCCTCCCCACACTTGGGTTTGAACAGACCGAGAGACCCCCACAGGTGGCTTGGAGGCATACGTGCTTCCACTGGATTCCCAGCCAGGACCCCTCCCTCACAGGACAGCCTGCCTCCCTGTGGGCCTGGGGAGTGCAGTGGTTTCGTGTGTGCATAGACATGCATGCTGTGTGCCTGTGTGCCTTCTCACCCACACACCCCACACATGACTGTCTCTCCTTGGGCCACAAGCAGGGAAACTGAGGCAGTGAAGGAGGATGAGTGAGGGGACTTGGGCTTAGCAGGGAGAGCTTGGGCACCTTCAGGCATCTTAGCCTGAGATGGGCACAGAAGTCCAGTAGAGATGGAACCAGGCCCTTGACCTCTAGGCCCAGGCCCTTGGCTGCCAGAGCCAAGGCCAGAAGCCTTGCCCAGGCCCTGCCCCACCCCTGTTAGGCCTGCCCCACCCCTGCCCAGGCCCTGCCCAGGCCCTGCCCCACCCCTACCCAGGCCTGCCCCATGCCTGCCCAGGCCTGCCCCACCCCTGCACAGGCCTGCCCCACCCCTGCACAGGCCTACCCCACCCCTGCACAGGCCTGCCCCACCCCTGCACAGGCCTCTCTGAGAGCGGCTCTCTTAATCCTCCCCCGAAAATGGCCTCACTGGAAGACAAGGGAGCAGTTCTGCCAGTCGAAGGGGAAGTAGGTGACTGAGATAGAGCAGGCGGAACGGAAGATGGCGGGTGGCAGCCAGTAGATACAGCCGTCAGGGGACACGAGCACATTGCAGTAGAGGGCCACCTCGAAGACACCGTCCACGCTGCGTGCACAGAACAGGCCAGGCCATGGGGATGTGGGCTCAGCCCCTGACACCCCAGCCCCAGACCAGCCCCTCTTCCCTGTGTGGATAGGGGCCTGGAGATACCCGCCCCTACCAGGCAGCCACCCCTGACTGGTTCTCACCCAGACCTCTAGGCCCCCCAGCAAGCTCCCTACCACCCCCCACCCCAGACAGACTTCCTCAGGCACCACCTCCTAATTTCTGCTTCTCTTTCTCCCTCTTGTTTTAATAATAAGAATAGTCATCATGGAGACTAACATGTGTGAGGCCCACACCATGTGCCAGCCCCGCAGTGGTCCAATTTTCATGCCTGTCTTATTGACTTCTGCCAGCTTCTGTAGGAGCCATCAGCGGCCCCATGTTATAGGGAAGGGAGCAGCCCGCCCAGGTGGCCCAGCCCAGAGGGGATGCAGCCTGGCGTAGGGTCTGGTCTGCTGGCCATACCCAGGGCCCTGCCCTTGGTACCTGCTCCGTCCAGTTCTTCCCTAGCCCTGCAGGTGCCCAATTTGCACCCTCTGCTCATCTTTCTTTTTTCCCAGAGCCCCCTTGTTCTGCTGGACCCAGACCCTGTGTCCTTTGTCCCCTGCGCCCCCGCCTGTACCCCCTTCTCACTTGTTCTCCAGCACGACATCCGGCCGCCACACCATGGTGGACGGCACCCTCAGCACCCACAGGCCTTCATAGTCTTGTGGGTCCCAGCGCAGGCGATAGTCACACCACTGCTGCAGGGGGAGGGGCAGTTGCCAGGCCTCTGCCTTCTGCTACACTGCACCCCTAGGGGTGAGCATGCAGCCCAAGGGGAAAGAAGAGGCAGGGAGGGGGCAGGCAGCTCTCAGGAGGCCTTGGGGTGGTAGAGTGGGGCCCCTGATGGAAGGAGGGTGGCAGGGTGGCCTCTTACCATCTCTATCCAGACATTGGTGGTGAGGGCTTCCTCTCGCTCATTCTAGGGGTGCAAGGTGCAGTATGGAGGGCTTAGCCCCGACTTCAGTGCCAGTCCCCATAGGCCACCGATGGGGCCAAGCAGCCCCCAGCCTCTTGAGAGCATGGGGGTTTTTCAGACCCCAGCCTGTCCCCTGTGGGGCGCTCCAACCTCCTGGTGGCTGGAGCCCTCCCGTGCTATCCCCAGTGGGTCCCAGGGCCTGGTGTGCTGACCCTTCCTCCGTCCAGCTTACCAGGGAGATGAGGTTGGTGAGGGTGAGCTTCAGGCTGACATTGACCACATCTGAGTCTCGCTCGGCAGGCCGAAGGTTGGGGTCGTAGTTTTGCATCAGGTCTGCGAGCAGGCGCTCCTCCTGGTTCCGGCCCTGGATCCCTGAAACAGACAGGTGTGAGCCTAGCGCAGGAGCTTGGGCGCGGAAAGAGCGGAGAGGCCCCGGGGGTGTGAAGTGGGGACTCAGGGAACTGGGTCCAGGGCAAGCCCCAATAGCCCTCAGACCCTCTGTCCCCTGAGGCCATGGACCCCGACTCTGGGACTCCCCAGGCTGTGATTCCTTTGTGTCCCACCCAGGCAGACAGCCAGCAGCGGCAGGAGGAGCAGCAGCCCCTGGGCCCCATGCATGGCGCCTCAGCTCTCTCAGTGACGGGTGGGACAGCAGCTCCAAGGTCTGGGGCAGAGAGAGATGGGCTCTGGGTGTCATATAACAGCCTACACTCCCACCCTGGCCGCCCCGGCCAGCCCAGCCAGCCCAGCCCAGCCCCACCAGCTGTCTGACCACAGCTTGTCAGCTGTTCCAGGATGGACACAATGCTGAGCTCAGGTTACCTGGGCTGGAGAGGGGAGACAGGGGCCCCGTCTGCCCCAACAGAGACATCCACCTCCCAGCCCCAACTCAGGCTCGGTTGTCCCAGCCCCACCTCCATGTTCCAGATGGGGGCCGAAGACACAGCCAGGGTCTGTTTGGTGTGGTAGGGAAGGCAGGTGGCTGAGGAACCTGATGGTGGCTTCAGAGAGGGCTGAGGTGGACTCCCTCCTGCTCCCTCCAGAGAGTCAGGATTTGGGTGGGTGTGAAGGTTGTTGGGTAGGCAAACGAGGTTTCTGTTTTGTTTTGTTTTTGTTTTTGTTTTTTGCTGGAGTGCAGTGGTGTGATCTTGGCTCATTGCAACCTCCACTTCCTGGATTCTCTTACTTCAGCCTCCCTGAGTAGCTGGGACTACTGGCATGCGCCAACACACCTGGCTTTTTTTTTTTTTTTTTTTTTTTTTTTTTTTTTTTTTTTTTTTTGGTATTTTTAGTAAAGATGGAGTTTCACCATGTTGACAAGGCTGGTCTTGAACTCTGGACCTCAAGTGATCTACCCATCTTGGCCTCCAAAAGTGCTGGGATTACAGGCATGAGCCACCATGCCCAGCTGGCATGTTTGTGTGTGAGTTTCTCTGTGACATTGCTGAGGACCCCAGACCTCTCACCAGCCTGACATTTTCATGGGTCATTCTATTGTGCCAAGACACTGAGGGAAAAGTGCCTAGGAGAAAGAGGCCTATGCCTGGAGGACTTTAACACCTTAACAGATCCCTGCCCTGAGGCAGGACATAGATCCGGTAAGCTTTGAAGTAAGAAGGGCTGAGAAAGATCTGGAACTCAGGGCTCCTGAGACTAGGACAGCCCCTGACTAGGTGCTCCTCAGTGAGGTCTCAGTGTTGATTCAATCATCCAACAGCCTTATGGGGCCCTCCAGAGAGTCAGATGAGGGGATCCAAAAGGAGAAGGAAAGGCCGGAAAATGAGCTCCATCTATTAACTTCCTGGTTTGTGGTCAAGAAAGGGCAGGGCTGAGGCTGATCTGGGCGCTAAGGGCCCTGCTGCCGGCTGCGGCCTCAAGCAAAGGAAGGCCACCTGCCTTCCGACCACCTATTATAAGCAGATGGGTCAGCGTGTCTCAGTACCAGGACAAAACAGAAATCTCGGGTTCTGATACCTGTCACCCACCCTTGACACTGCCATCAGTGTCCAGGGGATAGTGTGACAGGGAGCTCTCAGGACTGGAGGGAAAGTGCCCTGTGAGGACATCTTCCTCCGGCCAGTGAATGTCTGCAGCATTTCCATATATGTCAGTAAATTGGAAGTCAGCCCTGTCCTTGGAGACCCAAGAAAGTTTGGCTCAGACCCCACCTTCTGGAGCAGGGTCTCAAGTCCCTCCTGTCCTGGTTAGGATTTCCAGGGTTGGGGGTGGGGAGGCATGAGTGGTGGCAGCTGCCTTCCCCAGTCGGGTACTTGCACTGAGTCACTCTGTGGGTGGCTTCTCTGCCACCATCCTTGTGTTCAGTCTGGCTCTCGCCCCACTCTCAGTTCTTGACAGCCCGTAAACCTTCCAAAGCTTCCCCCTCATTGGGCATCCCCCTCCCTGAACTTCCCCCTCCCTGAGAATCCCCCTCACTCAGCATCCCTCTCCCTGAACATCTCCATCCCTGAAGTTCCCCCTCACTGTCTTCCCCTCCCTGAACTTCCCCCTCCCTGAGCATCTCCCTCCCTGAGCTTCTCCCTCACTGGGCATCCTCCTCCCTGAGCTTCCCCCTCCCCATCTTCCCCCGGGCTTCCCCTCCCCCCACCCCACTGAGCTTCTCTCTGTGTGACCCATCTTCCCTGGAATTTACAAAGTCCTTGTTTCTTTCTCACTTCTGAGCCCCTTGCCTTTCCATTTTGCCCTCTGGTGCTCCTAGATGCAATTTTCTTATCCTCTTTTGCAGACCAGTTTCTCTCCACCCCTTTACTCTCCTCCGTGCCCACACTTTGCCAAATTCATCAATGGCCTCCATGATCAAGAAGCACTGCCACCGAGTGGACCATCTGTCCCTGCATCCCCTGTCCCCCACCCTCCTGTTTTCTCCCTCTCTCTGCTCTGGGAGAGGTGGCCCAGAAGCCTCCTTGGTGTTTTCTGAAGGGTAAATCATCTGTGAGGAATGGCAGTTTCTTGGAGGGATTACGTGCCCAGGGACAGGACCCATTCAGGGAAAATCATCTGTAGAAATACTCATTGTCTAACGCTGCTTCTCCTTTGCCACCCTCTGTTGTAATGGCTGATAGAGCGAAATACTCATTTCGTAGCCTCCCTTCAGGTAGGCTAGCCATGTGATGTTTTAACCTGTGGGATGTCTGCAGGGGCTTTATGGAAAAGTTTTTTTGTTTGCTTGGTTTTTGTTTGTTTGTTTTTGTTTATTTCTGAGATGGAGTTTTATTCTTCTTGTCTCTCGAGTACAATGGCATGATGTCGGATTACTGCAACCTCCACCTCCTGGGTTCAAGCAATTCTCCTGCCTCAGCCTCCTGAGTAGCTGGGACTACAGGTGCACGCCACCACATCTGGCTAATTTTTGTATTTTTAGTAGAGATGGGGTTTCACCATGCTGGCCAGGCTGGTCTTGAACTCCTTGATCTCAGGTGATCCACCTGCCTCGGCCTCCCAAATTGCTGTGATTACGGGAGTGAGCCACTCTGCCTGGCCTATGGAAAAGTTTTGCTTCTTGATGACAGTGGTCAGAAATGGCTGCTCCTCTTCTGCCTGAACATAGGTGCTAAGTGTGCAGCTGTGGCTGTCAGCTCGCAACCTGGGGCCAACAGATCTGAGGACAAAAGCCAACTTGCCATGGAGGCAGGGCTGGGCAGAGGGCAAAGTGCCTGGGTCTCTGACAGCTTTGGTAGACACTGGAGCCAACGTGGTCACCTCCGCCTCTCTATTATCATTATGTGAGAAAAAGGAAACCTTATGTGTTTAAGCTACAATTCCTTGAGCTTTCTGTTCCTTGCAGCCCAGTGTATTACTGATTCGCTGTCCATTGAAAGAGGCCAGGTAGCCCTGTTGGTCTGGAGAGAGTAAGGAACTCTCTCTGGCTTCCCGGAAAGCTGTGCCTGTGAGTGTGACTTCCTGGGGCAGAAGATGGAGTTCCATGTCAGTCAGAGTGGACTGGTCCTGACAGCACCACAGTGCTGGGGGAGCAGGTGCCGCTGGTGGCAACTGCGGTGACCCTGGGAGCCTGTGCAAGAGGCACTCCCTCCGGTTTTGTGTGACATTTTGGTGTTGTCTCCTCTGGAAGTCCACAGCCACTTGAGCAGGGCCTAATAGAACTGAGGACTCGCCTGGTGGACCAAGACGTGCTGCCATCAGTGCCACCACAAGGCAGAGAGAAGCAAAGACTGTGACTGAGGGTCCTAGGTACACTCTTTTTTTTTTTTTTTTTTTT